ACAGCACATTACACTTTCTTCTCAAGTGCACATGGAACATTCTCCAGGATAGATCACATCTTGGGTCACAAATCAAGACTCAGTAAATTTAAGAAAATTGAAATCATATCAAGCATCTTTTCTGACCACAACGCTATGAGATGAGAAATCAATTACAGGGAAACAAACATAAAAAACACAAACACATGGAGGCTAAACAATATGTTACTAAATAACCAAGGCATCACTGAAGAAATCAAACAGGAAATTAAAAAGTACCTAGAGACAAATGATAATGAAAACTCGATGATCCAAAACCTATGGGATGCATCAAAAGCAGTTCTAAAAGGGAAGTTTATAGCTATACAAGCCTACCTCAAGAAACAACAAAAAATCTCAAATAAAAAATCTAACCTTACACCTAAAGGAACTAGAGAAAGAAGAACAAACAAAACCCAAAGTTAGCAGAAGGAAAGAAATCATGAAGATCAGAGCAGAAATAAATGAAACAGAAGCAAAAAAACAATAGCAAAGGTCAATAAAACTAAAAGCTGGTTCTTTGAGAAATAAACAAAACTGATAAACCATTAGCCAGACTCATCAAGAAAAAGAGGGAGAGGACTCAAATCAACAGAATTAGAAATGAAAAAGGAGAAATTACAACAGATACTGCAGAAATACAAAGCATCCTAAGAGACTACTACAAGCTACTCTATGCCAGTAAAATGGACAACCTGGAAGAAATGGACAAATTCTTAGAAAGTTATAACCTTCCAAGACTGAACCATGAAGAAATAGAAAATATGAACAGGCCAATCACAAGTAATGAAATTGAAACTGTGATAAAAAATCTTCCAAAAAACAAAAGTCCATGACCAGATGGCTTCACAGGTGAATTCTATCTAACATGTAGAGAAGAGCTAACACCCATCCTTCTCAAACTCTTCCAAAAAATTGCAGAGGAAGGAACACTCCCAAACTCATTCTATGAGGCCACCATCACCCTGATACCAAAACCAGACAAAGATACTCCCAAAAAAGAAAATTACAGACCAATATCACTGATGACTATAGATGCAAAAATCCTCAACAAAATGCTGGCAAACAGAATCCAGCAACACATTAAAAGGATCATACACTATGATCAAGTGGGATTTATCTCAGGGATACAAGGATTCTTCAATATATGCAAATCAATCCATGTGATACACCATATTAACAAATTGAAGAAGAAAAACCATATGATCATCTCAATACATGCAGAAAAAGCTTTTGACAAAATTCAACACCCACTTGTGATAAAAAAGTCTCCAGAAAGTGGGCATAGAGGGAACCTACCTCAACATAATAAAGGCCATATATGACAAACCCACAGCAAACATCATTCTCAATGGTGAAAAACTGAAAGCATTTCCTCTAAGATCAGGAACAAGACAAGGATGTCCACTCTCACCTCTATTATTCAACATAGTTTTGGAAGTCCTAGCCACGGCAATCAGAGAAGAAAAAGAAATAAAAGGAATACAAATTGGAAAAGAAGAAGTAAAACTGTCACTGTTTGCAGATGACATGATACTATACACAGAGAATCCTAAAAATGCCGCCAGAAAACTACTAGAGCTAATCAATGAATTTGGTAAAGTTGCACAGGATACAAAATTAATGCACAGAAATCTCTTGCATTCCTATACACTAATGATGAAAAATCTGAAAGAGAAATTAAGGAAACACTCCCATTTACCACTGCAACAAAAAGAAGAAAATACCTAGGAATAAACCTACCTAGGGAGACAAAAGACCTGTATGCAGAAAACTATAAGACACTGATGAAAGAAATTAAAGATGATACCAACAGATGGAGAGATATACCATGTTCTTGGATTGGAAGAATCAATATTGTGAAAATGACTATACTACCCAAAGCAATCTACAGATTCAATGCAATCTCTATCAAATTACCAATGGCATTTTTTATGGAACTAGAACAAAAAAATCTTAAGATTTGTATGGAGACACAAAAGACCCCTAATAGCCAAAGCAGTCTTGAGGGAAAAAAACGGAGCTGGAGGAATCAGACTCCCTGACTTCAGACTATACTACAAAGCTACAGGAATCAAGACAATATGGTACTGGCAAAAAAAAAACAGAAATATAGATCAATGGAACAGGATAGAAAGCCCAGAGATAAACCCACGCACCTGTGGTCAACTAATCTATGACAAAGGAGGCAAGGATATACAATGGAGAAAAGACAGTCTCTTCAATAAGTGGTGCTGGGAAAACTGGACAGCTACATGTAAAAGAATGAAAGAAGAACACTCCCTAACACCATCCACAAAAATAAACTCAAAATGGATTCGAGACCTAAATATAAGACTGGACGCTATAAAACTCTTTGAGGAAAACATAGGAAGAACACTCTTTGACATAAATCCCAGCAAGATCTTTTTTGATCCACCTCCTAGAGTAATGGAAATCAAACCAAAAATAAACAAATGGGACCTAATGAAATTTAAAAGGTTTTGCACAGCAAAGCAAACCATAAACAAGACGAAAGACAATCCTCAGAATGGGAGAAAATATTTTCAAACAAATCAACAGACAAAGGATTAATCTCCAAAATATATAAACAGCTCATGCAGCTCAATACTAGAGAAACAGAAAACCCAATCCAAAAATGGGCAGAAGACCTAAATAGACATTTCTCCAAAGAAGACATACAGATGGCCAAGAAGCACATGAAAAGCTGCTCAACATCACTAATTATTAGAGAAATGGAAATCAAAACTACAATGAGGTATCACCTCACACCAGTTAGAATGGGCATCATCCGAAAATCTACAAACAACAAATGCTGGAGAGGGTGTGGAGAAAAGGGAACCCTCTTGCACTGTTGGTGGGAATGTAAATTGATACAGCCACTATGGAGAACAGTATGGAGGTTCCTTAAGAAACTAAAAATAGAATTACCGCATGATCCAGCAATGCCACTACTGGGCATATACCCAGAGAAAACCATAATTGAAAAAGACACATGCACCCCAATATTCATTGCAGCACTATTTACAATAGCCAGGTCATGGAAGCACCCTAAATGCCCATTGACAGACAAATGGATAAAGAAGTTTAGTACATATATGCAATGGAATATTACTCAGCCATAAAAAGGAACGAAATTGAGTCATTTGTTGAGACGTGGATGGATCCAGAGACTGTCATATAGAGTGAAGTAAGTCAGAAAGAGAAAAACAAATATCATATATTAATGCATGTATGTGGAACCTAGAAAAATGGTACAGATGAACCAGTTTGCAGGGCAGAAGTTGAGACACAGATGTAGAGGACAAACGTATGGACACCAATGGGGGAAAGCCACGGGGTGGTGGTATGCTGAATTGGGCGATTGGGATTGACATGTATACACTGATGTGTATAAAATTGATGACTAATAAGAACCTGCTGAATAAAAAAATAAAATTCAGAAATTAAAAAAAATAAACAACTAATACTAAACTTTCTTTGGGTTATTTGTATGGACATATGTTAATATAAATGTTTCTGACATTACATGAAATTCCTAAAAATCTTATATGTTCTGGTATAATGTTATAAGTCATAATTCTAGTTATTACTTTAAAATGTGTATCTCAGAAATAACCAAAAAAGAAAAAAGAAAAGGTGGAGAAAGAGGAACCCTTGTATACTGTTGGTGGGAATGCAAATTGGTATAGCCACTATGGAAAGCAGTATGGAGGTTCCTCAAGAAATTAAAAACAGAACTACCATATATATGATACAGCAGTCCCACTTCCTAGTATGTAGCTGAAGGAAACAAAATCAGTACCTTAAAGAAATATCTGCACTCCCATATTCATAGCAGCATTATTCACAATAGCCAAGATATGGAAACAACCCAAGTGTCCATCAAGGGGTGAATGAATAAAGACAATGTGGTGTGTATATATATACACAGACAGAATGGAACATTATTCAACCATAAAAGGAAGAAGGAAATCTCATCAGTTGCAACAACATGGATGAACCTGGAGGACACTATGTTAAGTGAAACAGACCAGACAGAGAAAGACAAATACTATATGCTATCACTTATATATGGAATCTAAGGGGGAAAAAAAATGGAACTCACAGAAAGGAAGACTATACTGGTGATTGCCAGGGGTTGGGGGGTTAGGGGAAATGGAGATGTTGGTCAAAGGGTACAAACTTTCAGTTACAAGGTAAGTTTTGAGGATCTAAGATATAGCATGATGACTATAGTTAATAATAGAGTATTGTATACTTTAACAGGGACTAACGGTTCTACCAACATACTGAAAATAGACACATTTGGGAAGAATAGGCAGAGAAGAAAAAGAGAAAGAAAAAATGAGTGGAGAAGAGAGGGAGACAGAGTAAGAGAGAGGAAAAATTAAGAAGCGTCTCCAGCACAATAATTTAGAACCAGTAACAGATTACTTTTTCTGGTATTTTCTGGAGTTAACGTCCACTCCATCTCTTTCCAGTGAAGAAAATGAACGAAAGGATTTCTGTTATAATTTCAGCTTCTAGTGTGTGAGATGGAAAACAGCTTAGGACTTAGTCAGAGGATGAGTCAACCCTTAACTTCCCATTTATCACCATATGCATGTCATTTCACTTCTCTGATGCTAATTTTCTTATCTATAAGACAATGGTGGTCAGAAAATCTGTTATGATTAGCTATCTCGTGGGATTCTTATGAAGACCAAATGTAATGTATGGTAACTAACCTGGAAATATTACCTATGTAATTATGTATGATTTAATAAGCAGGTACCTATGTAATTATATACTACATGTATTAGATTTAATAAAGATCTTTCTGTTAAAACTATGGGGCAAGTTAAATTTACCACATTTAAAAGTAACAGTGATATATTGTTGAGAACAAAACTTGGGTATGAACACGTCATTCCTCATTTGTTGACCCAGATTACAAAGGAACTTGGCTGGTGATGGGAAGGCAGGTGGTTTGCGATTACCAGATCTCTGTGGATGAAGCTGTTTCTCTCCAGGTACTCCATCCCTTCACACACATCTTGACACATGCTCAGCAGCACATCTCTACTAAAATGGCCTTGTCTCTGTCGGAGGAAATTCAGAAGGCATCCCCTTTCCATGAACTCGGTAACGATGTAAATGGGTTTCTGCTGGGTGCATACACCATAAAGCTGTACTAACTTTGGGTGTGTCAGTTTCCTGAGAGGGAAGTCATGCATACACAGAGTTACTGCAGGGAAAGAAACCACCAGGGGTGTTAGCTGGCAAGGGGCCACTGTTTAATACAAAAAGGGGAGCCAGAAAAAATGTAGAAACTTACATCATTACTTTAGCTTCTTCTATAAAATCTTCCTCACACATGGCACCTTCCCTAATAGCTTTGATGGCTACTTTGTACTGAGCTCGCCACTTGCCAAGCCTTACTACTCCAAAGAGTCCACTCCCCAACTCCCTCATAAAGGTCAGCTCTGAAGGGTTAATCTCCCATTTTTCTGTGAGACAGAGGGGGAAAGTGATAAAATTTAATCAGGAGAATACAGTAGGAATCAGTGGAAAACAAAGAAACTATAACCAAGGTCAATCTAAAACTTACAAGGTAATACAATTACCAACACAGAGCAGACTTGCAACCTGCCCATAAGCAACAGAAGGTGGCTTTCCTCTCTCTGGGGAGGATGGACCCCTTCTCAGCTGTCACAGTAAAAGCAAAGTGAACTGAAGAAGGCAAGAAGATGCTACACAATAGGCTAATAATAATGGAGCTTGAAAGTTAAAGGTACTTTTTTCTTTTTTAAACAAATACTTCCTCCTTTACCATTCCTCCCCCTGAAGTTTTTTTTTTTCTGTTTCGATTCCATCAAGTTGGGAAGAGTTTAACCTGTTTAAAAGGCTTTCCCCAGTAGCACAAAGACAATCAAGTTGCATGTCTTCTCTATTACCTCCATCTTTACTTTCCTGTGAGTAGCCAACCAAGCCCAGTGAGAAGCAGGAAAGGCTTTGATTTATTTTGGAAGTAACATGGTAATGCTTATTTTTCACTGACGGGCAGCTTTCTGCCAAATAATAATGAATAGTGATGAGAACAGAAAACCTAGGGTCACTACAGCTATAAGTGTAGTCATCTAACATCTCACACGGTAAACTTATACAGAAACAGTTCCGCTACGTGGAATTCTACACATCTAAACTGGTCTTGGGATAATGGGTTCAAGAAAAATTTGCCACGCAACTAAAAAAGGAGTTACCGTAGCTGAATCCTGCAGTGGTTGGTGCATTCTTCCCCTTTGTGCTAACTGGGTACCGCAGCCTTGTGACAAGTCCTAGAAATCAAAAAGAGTATTACAGTTGAATGCACTCAATCATTCTGCATGGTAAAGCACTAAACTAGAAACTCACTTACAAAATTCATTCATTTATTCACTTAGTGCTCATCTTCTTTGTGTATATATAGCCCTCTGCTATATGCTAGCAAAAACTAAAGGAAGGCAGGAAGGACGATGATCCTACTGTTGTCAAAACCAAGCCTGTGTGCCTGAGGCACAGTGAGGCCAAACAAACCAAAATGTCGGAGTCTGGAGCAGAAAAAGGTTTACTGCAGGGCCAAGCAAGGAGAACGGGGGGCTTGTACTCAAAAGACCCCAACTCCCCAGTGGCCTTCGACAAGGGTTTTTAAAGACATTGTTAGGGGAGAGGGTAGTAAGACAAGTGATCAGCTCCTGGACCTTCTTCTGATTGGCTGACGGTAGGTAACAGGGTGATGTTTCAGGAATCTCAATCATCAACCTTCTGGTTCCAACCAGCCTGGGGTCTACCTGCTTGTGGTCAGCATGTAGTCACCCTCCTCCACCTGGATGGGGGTCTTAGTTTCTGCAGAGCGACTCAAAGATACGCATCAGATTGTTATCTACATCCCTTCAGGAGGAACTAGGAGTCCTGTGACTAACCATTAACTGCTTGAGCCTGCTCGTTGGAGCTTGCGGAAGGCCTAGGAGACTAAAGCCCTTTTTCTCTTTTTCAAACAAAAAACGGGAAACACAGAGGAGCTTCTGTACCCAGGAAGGCCCCCACAGGGTCCTGCTTGGTTTCACTACTCTCTGAGCCGACAATTTCATATTTTTAAAATATACGTTTTTATTCATTCAACATTTTTTTTTTAAATGCAGTGTGTGTCAGGCACTATGCTAGCATGGTATCTTGCAAACACTTTAAAGGATGTTAAAAGGTTTCCAACAATTATTATCAATTATTATTTCATGTTCTTTTCCAGTATGAGATTTGAATTATGAAATGGAATTACAGTAGTCTGCTAAAATTAAAGTGATGCACCTGACATAACTCAGCGTTTGTGATCTTAGCATAAAAACTGGACTCTACGATATTAACGACTGGGAATAACACGACTACTGGAAATAGGTGAGGTACCTTAAATCCTTTAACTTAAGTTGCTTACAATACTAAATAAGAAATCCCAGGTATTTCTCCTGTAAACACCTGTAGCACTATGTATTTCTTCTAATACAGTGTATCTCATAGTAATTTAATATTGTTATGTACTTCTCTGTCTCCCCTACCAGATGGTAAGATCTGGGAGAGACAAGATCAATAGCCATCTAGTTCACCATAGTATCCCTACCGTCCGGCACAGTTCCTGGCATGCAGTAGGCACTTAATACATGTTTCTGGAATGAGTGAATTGAGATAACGGTGAAGCGTAACAATTCACACAAGAACAAGAAGAAAGGAATAGGGGAACGTGAATGCTGAAAAAGACTAGAATAAAAGATAAGAAAAAGTTCTTCAGGGGATAAATTGATATGAAATCAGTTCCTCAAATGTTAAACACAGAGTTATTACATGATCCAGCAAATCCATTCCTAGGTTAGTACCCAAAAGAAATGAAACATGTTTCATGCAAAAACTTGTACACAAATGTTTCCAGCAGCATTACTCATAATGGCCAAAAGGTGGAAACAGCCCAAATGTCCATCAACTGATGAATGATACAAAATGGATAAACAAAATCCATACGATGGATTATTATTCATCGTTAAAAAGGAGTGGAGTACTTATATAGGCTACGACATGGAGGAATGTCAAAAATATTATGCTCAAAGAAGCTAGTCAGAACAGACTGCATATGGTATGATTCCATTTACATGAAATGTCCAGAATAGGCAAATCTATACAGATAGAAAGTAGATTAGTGGGTGCCTAGGACAGGACTGGTGGAAGGGGTTAAGGGGTGACTGGTAATGCACGGGGGATGCTGAAAATGACCTCAGATTATGGTGACAGTTGGCACAACTCTGTAAATATACTAATTTACAGACCACTGAGTTGTACACATCATGTGGGTGAACTTTATGGTGTGTAAATTATATCTCAATAACCATTCCTATCATTATCTGAGAGACGTGAAGAGAGTCACAAATAGCAACAAACTTGGCAAAGGCCTTCGATAAAATTTCAAAAGTTAATTTTCCATAGATTGGGCTGGACACTTGGCTAACCCCTGCTCAGTTACATCTTTGAAGTCAAAGGCTAGAAATCTTTCTATCTCATCCTCTGGAGCTTCCAAGGGCACAAATGTGGTTTCTGGTTTTGTTTTTGATGTTTGGTTTATTCCCACTCTGGTGGTTAAGTGTAGCAAAGATTTGGGAAGATGGAAGACGTGTCTGGAACATTCTTATGCTAGTCTTTGGAAGCCTCTAAAACAGGCCTAAACCTAAGCTGCTCATCTGGCAGCTTCTGTGACAGCTGCGACACAGACATACATTGGATTTTAGTTTGGTACTGTTAAAGAAAAAAAAATATTCAATGACGCTTTTAAAGATGGTCCAGCAGGCTTTATTCAGGACCACTGTGATAGGTATAAGGACCACTGCAATGGGATTTTAAAGTGGGGGAGAGAGATGGGCCCGACTCTGAACACAACCTGGACAAATGAGAACTCACAGCCAAGAAGAAGGGTGGGGAATCAGTGGATGGAAAATTACTAAAAGAAACATCAATGCAGGGAGGGCTTAGAGTGCTTCTGGCCAAACTAATCAAACAAGATTCTTGCTGAAATAAGCCAGGGTACCCAGACATTACCCGGGGGGATGGTGGAAGGCGAGGAACCCGACCAGTTATTGAGGGTGATTAGACATCAAATCTCAAGGGTAAGGGGTTCTGGTTAAAGTGACTTAGCAGGGTTATTGCCAAAACTGGATTTTATAAGAAAGTGTACAGATGGGCCCAGGAGATGGTCCAGGAGCCTGACTAAAGTTGGGTCAAGCAAAGAACCTTTGTCAGTACCTAGGATGTAGACCTCGTATTGTATGTGGCAGATGTGAACGTTTGCCACACACGATAAGGATAACTTGTGTTTTAAGGTCAAGACGGGGCTTCTTTAGAGTTATTATTTCTGATTTCTCTTTGTATATATCACTTCCTTAATATGCAGTAATTTTAAATCAATCACTTTCTACCATTAACTACAACATAAACCTGCTCAAGGTTTATGAATTAACCTTTATGAATTAGAATTCATCACCATGTCTAACCATTTTAATCACTACTTTATATTTGAAATAGGTTTTAACAGGTCACTTACCGGCTGCATTGTGCTTATGATATTCAATAATCTCAGGAATTGAACCAAAAGCATGTTTTTCTGCCAGATAATACTTCTTTGGAGATGTCACTGTCTCCTTTATATGATAATGCCTGAAACCTGATGAACCTTCTCTGTAACAAAAATCAGAATGTGTTAGAACTAAGTTGGAATAATGTAACTTCACCCTTAAGGTGTTTTCTACCAGGGTCCCTACATATGGCCCCCTCTATTCTCTACACAAATTTTATTTTCCCCCATGTTCTTCTTAGCTTCGCCTTTCAAATTAACAGATGGAAGTTATAAAGTGGTCACTGATAACTGACACTTGGTCCCTTGCATGAGATCGTGAAAGAGAACATTTACCAAAACTCCATTTACCAACAATTAAAAGTCTTAAAATAGCTATTAGCTGGATACTGCTTTTTGTCCCTGCTGTTGGTGTTGCAAATGTCCAGAAGACCTCTAAAAGTTAATAAACTAGACGTACAAATCATGTACACATTCTATTTTAGGTATCTTAGATCTTCCTGAATCATCTCTTGCTGAAAATCCTTTCCAGAGAACTCTTGCCGCTGTGAAGATAAAGTTCAAACTCCTTGACATGGACATGATGTGTCTTCCACTTCTACCTCTCTGGCTTCTCTCTCCTCCCTTCCCCCTGCCCCTTCCATTCTACAATCCAGCTACAATACACTGTTGTCAGCTCACCAAGTGCTCGCTCACTTCCAGGTCCAGGCAATTTCCTGTGTCAGAAACACATTTCCCTCTCTCCAACTTTTGCCTGCCTCACCCGTCAGGTCTCACATTGGATGTCAGTAGACAACGTTAATGTCTAACTCAGATGTGTCTGGGCTAAGTACCACCCACCCCCACCCTGACACACAAACACACACACACACACACACACACACACACACACGTTGCCCTCCCTGCATAGCAGTCGCTCACATATACCATCACTGCCTGTTTGCCTGTCTGAAAGAAGCCCTCGCTAAGCTACTGGAGGGCTGGGTCTGTGTCTACCTGGCTCAGTGTGGTATCCTTAGTACCTAGCACAGTGCAAAGTAATTATCTGTGGAATGTTGCTAAAGTTTCTGTAGTCATTCAGAACAAATATATATATGGAAAATGAGGAAAATTACTAGATATGAATATAAAAATGGTATAGACTTTAGAAATCAAGTTCAGATTTTTTTAATGCTGAATTGTAGCTTATTTTCTGAAAATTAGGAATCCATATACACTATATAAGAACTTCATATAAAAACTCTGATTTTAAGCAGAGAGAGAGAGAGAGAGAGATTACTTACCCTCCAAACTTTGTATAAAGGGAGACTGTGTACATGCCTGGTTGACTGGAATCTCTTACCATAAAACCACCTTCTTTATCCTAAAATCCAAGAAGAAAATTTTTTTCAATCCAATAATACCAATGCCACAGAGAAGGTCCAAGAGCCCAATCTTATAATTTTTTGATCATTATCCTCTGACGAGAAAATCTGCTTTGGAGAAGCGCAACTTACCAACAGGTAAGTCATCCACGTGACCGTCTCCCATCCATGTGACCTTCCACTTCACATTACTGAACCGTGAGATTAAAGAAAGCACACTCATAATTCCCCACAATCACAACTCCGCACACACACTAGTTCGAGACATCTCAACAAGACAATCTCTCAGGGCCCTTCCAGAGCTAACAGACAAAATTTTGCAATTCCCTTATGTCCTGGACATGTGGGGAAACAGTTACTGAAAAATGTATTTCTTAATGCCTGGATTTCATTTCATACATTTTTCATATTTACTATAAGGCTTGAATCCCGACTCAATATCACCTTCTATCCACACAGCATTTTTCCTGTAAATACCTCAGTGCTCTTTATAGGAAGATTTTTTTTTAAATCCTCAATTCCCCTGGAAATCGATGTTAAACATCACTCTTTATGAAAGGAGAGACAGAAGCACAAGCAACTTAAGCAGAGAAACCCAAAAGGCAGCAACACGCTGAATGACCAAAAGCTAAATCCTCATGAGGTTCTTAGCCTAAGAGCAAGAAAGAGAAGCTAGGAACCTCAAATACCTCTCCACCAATAATGCCACAGTCAATCTCTAGCACTGAAATTGCTTTAAAATGAAAGTGTGTTTAACAGAATAAAATAAATTTTCTTCTTATTCCTAGGAAAGACAATGGAATGAAATAAAGGCCCACAAATAAATCTGATAAGAACAATTAGGGACAATGATTATAACAGTTAATCGATCAATAAAACATGTTTACTGAACACTTACTCTGTTTTAATATGTTCTAATATGTGGATCTACTCAGTCCTCAAAACAGTCCTATGAGGTAGGTACTATTGTTATCTCCTTGCCTGTTTACTTTACAGGTAAGGAAATGGGGCACAGAAAAGTTGGACATTTGCCCCAACTCAAACAGCTAGTAAGTAGCAGAGCCAGGATTTGGACCCCAGGCCTTCTAGCTACCCACTTCCCTAGAGCTGCCTCTCATTGTGAGGTCACCAGGGAGGCGTGTTGAGAATCATGTAGAGGGAGAGGGGCAGGGAGAGGTGACGTGTCATCTGAAGCAAGCAAAGTCACCTGCTATTGCTCTCGTAACATAAACTACAGAAAGAAGTTATACCCTGAGAAAACTGGGCATATAACCCTGAGAAAACCATAATTCAAAAAGAGTCATGTACCAAAATGTTCACTGCAGCTCTATTTACAATAGCCAGGACACGGAAGCAACCTAAGTGTCCATCATCAGATGAATGGATAAAGAAGATGTGGCACAT